TTATGTCATGAAGTATGTTAAAAATAAACTTGATAGACGTATGTGCCATTTTGACCGACATGGTGCATTACAAATGGTCACTTTTTATTATAAGTTTTCTTCTTATTATTATTCTTTATTATATCCCCCATACTAAGAATCTTGCAATCTGATTGGTCTAAACGAGGTCACATGATCAATGATAGATTGACCATCACTTGAGCTGTGAGTTAGCGGTGTGATAGTACTTCTGTACAGTAAGCAAATATTAACCGACTACGAAGGTAATGGTATAGAGATATCGACTGCTACGAGAGAGGACTGGCTGTTTTATACGCTCAAGGGAAAGTTGATTCCGCTGCCATCACAGTCGTAGCAGTCGGTATCTCTATACCATTACCTTCGTAGTCGGTTAATATTTGCTTACTGTACAGGTTACCCCCCCCCCCCCCCCTTGTGTTTTTTTTTAAATTTTGTTATGCCTAAAATAATGACCTTATCCCCCCTCCCCCCCAACGGAGCAAAATGTCAAATTTTAAAATTTCGAGACCAAAAAAAAAGTGTCCTCTTAATGAATAGATTCATTCAGTTTGGGGATTTTTTGTTTGAATCATATTCTTTTGTTTTGATATTTCACGATATAAACTAGGGAGGTATGCGGATTGCACGATATTCTATCGTAGAGCTTGGAGTTTGAATGTATTGTTATTTTAATATTTTGCATATATTTCAACAAAATTAAAAAAATTATTCTAGACATGATATCATTGAGGTGTGAAGTATGTTTTTTAATATGATTGTATTATCATATCCTCTATACCAATATCGCCTTCATTTTAACCAAGATAAATTTATTTAATCAAAATTACGTTTTATATCGAGGTAACAAATTGGTAACAAATTAATTTGTTTCCTGTATTTGCTTTTTTTTTGCTATTTTTGCTTGTTCACGTTGTAAATCATCTCATGTCAAGGCCTTCTTGCCCATCTATCAATATTGTTACGTCCTTCACCGTTACAACCACTTCATTCAAATGTTAGTTTTGTTTACGGGAACCTATAATCTACAAGTTGAGCTTTTCAATAGGTTCCTCACATTTCACCCTGTATAACCTTCTTTTCATTACAATTCATTTCGACGTCTTTTCAAAGAATTAATTATATAATGTGACACTTTTTTTTTGAAATGTGAAACAAATGAACTTGAAACTTGAAACTTGAAAGCATTATGATATATCTGAATAAAATGACAGAGAGATGAGGTTATTGACAGAGATTTCGCAAGAGATTAAGACTTTTTGTTTGGCTCGTAGGGAGAGGAGAAAATTTAGTGAGCAGAAGAGAGGGAAAAGATTGGTGCTTAATAAAGTAGAAAGAGATAGGGAGTCAGAAAGGAAGCGAAATAGGACCTCAAAAGATCTTAGATCTTAGATTTAAGATTTGTATTTAGAATTCAACCTTAGGTTTTGGTTGCAATAAAGAATTAATGATAACAGATGAAGAGAGTTGGAAAGAGAATGGAGAAAAAATCGAAGAAGAGTGGATGAGATATAAAAAGAAAGATGAAGAAAAATTTCGTCATTTATGGAAATGAGTAATAGTTCAGGCTAAATCGACAATAAAAGGAAACTTGTACAAGTATAAGAAAATAACATTTCGTTTTATATCGAAGCAAGCTGCTCCAAAATTCACAAGGAACATCCGGACAACGAGATACTCATTTCCTTGGAATAAAGATTGATCTCCTTATGACAGAATAATGTTAAAGGTATTTTCGTGGGCATCTATTGTACATTTAGCGCCAATTTTATCGTCCGCTGGAACTGTACATAAACTGCATCGGCATTGTAAGATAATGTAATACATATACATGTAACTTCAAAAGCTAGGCTCATGGACTATAAAACAACGACCACAACAACGGGATACTTACTAGTGAATAAACATGTAAAGCTTAAAAACGATCACAAAGACTTTCAACAATTAAACTCTGGCAATTTCAATAGCCTGTGCCAAATATTAGAATGTTTAAACATGACAATGACATTATTACATAATCAATAACTGGTTTCTATACACGATACGATAGGGTAGTGAAATTGCCCATATTAAGCCCTAAAGCTGATTTCTTGAAAGTCTTTGCGATCATGTCTCTCAGGCCTTTTCCCCTACAGCATGCCATTTCCAACTTGCTATGAGATTTTAAAAAATATGAACGTCTATATGTTCGAGTTAACGTCAAATGAGCAGTGTTTGTTTTCATGCCAATGTTAGTATAGAGGGGACATTAATATCAAGGGGTGCATCGGTCTCACTGACACAACCGCTAAGGGGAGGTTGTAAAAGGGGTTCTATCATCTTCTTTTATCGTCCTCCGACCCACACACCCACACATAGCCTTTCATTTTCTCTCCTTTTTCTCCTTTCAATTTGATTCCATTCCATCGGAGGGGGGGGTAGGGTTGTCAATGTGCCCGTGCCTTTGATTATTGTGAAGTGCTGCCATCGTTCACAATCAATAAAAGTGACCATCTTTAGCGGATTTTTTTCTAATCTTAATCATGATTTGTACCTTAATTGTAAGGGTCTGGATTATGCCTTTAAACTACCACATTCATTTCCGGTCATTGTTATCCACCGCTTATAAGCCACACGTCATAATAACCAGAATTTCAAATTCTAGTGTTCTGAGAGTATTTTGAGGGAGAAATTTTATCAAGGGAATTTCATAAATATGTAAGCAGGCGGTATGTCTATATAAACCTTCAGTCTCTCTGGGCTTAAATCAATTGTTGTCACAACACTCCAAATGATGATGAATCGTTCTTGGTACCTTGCCTGTCTTGTATTTGGAAGTCTGATGCTCGTGGTGCACCATGCCTCTTCCCAATGTAAGTCTTTCTTAACTATATTATACAGCTAGTATACTTGTCATTGTTATTATATCACAGTGCTATTTAATTCATCGTTTATCAATATCTACTTGTTATCTTCAATATCTAACCTCGTGGAGGTGTGATGACTAAGTGGTAGAGCAGTGGTCTCGTAACCGGGAGGTCCGAGGTCCGAAGCCAAGTCAATGAGCAAGTTCCCTTTGGTAAAGCATTAGCAAGTCACGTAGAGAGGCCTAATGGGACTTGACGCCGTCGGTCCCGATTACTTACTTACAAGCAAAAAATGTTTTCTTAGCAGTCAGGTAAACACACACCATAACAAACAAACAGACAAACAAAAAAAAAAAAATCATTACCACAACTTTTGGTTGTTGAATCAATGGGATATTAACAAACTATAAGAAAACCGTTTGCAGCCATCATAATAGTGAGATTTTAGTACAAAGAGCGTACATTTATACATTGCTGTAGTAGCTATGTAACGCTAACACTCTAGAAATAGTTGGACAAACAATTCCTCGACTGCATGACCGATCAATCGGGTAAATCAAAGCTTTTGCGTTATTCACTCCGTTTGAACGAAAATGAATACTCAACTCTCAAGCAATTTGTTTTTCTTTCCAAAATGCCAACAACTCCCCCAAATCAATGGCCAAAATGCAGTTTAATCGATTTATCATGATGAGGGGGGGGGGGTGTAGTGACACAAAGATGACCCTATTGAGTATAATGTAGGCGGTCCATTTAATTATCCATTACTTGGTTTCACCAATCTTAATAGGTAATACCACCTTTGTAATAAGTTCAATTGGTTCTCGGATAATTACCCCCTGACAATTACCAGCGGGACAATGACCCCCCCCCCCCCCACCCCAAGAACAATTACCCCCGAAAAATTACCCCCTAGGACAATTACCCCGAAGATAATTAAGCGTAGACTTCCCCTTTAATGAAAAGGGTGTCGGTAAATTTCGGGGGGGGGGGGGTAATTGTCAACATAATACCAGTATTGAATTGAATTGAACACTTTTACCGAATTATTCTGTTTTGGAAAAAGAAAAGGTAACAATACTTTGCTCTATTATTGATTCCTTCATTTTTTATTTCGGACATTAGAAACTTCGTATTGCTAAAGAGCATCTGTGTACACAACTTTCCTCTCGTTTTTCTTGTTATTTCTTACATTTCAATGAATGAACATTTTTGTGGTAGAGTACTTGGAGAGTACTCCAATCATTGAAAAATTTGATCAATTTATATAGATTAGACCGTTAAAACTTGGTCAGCTTAAAAATAACCCTCCCCATGATTACCATAATAAGACTTTTCCCATGATTTTGATACATTTCGATGGATCTATTTCAATTCATATTTTATTTTCCATCAGCATTTTCAGTCAGCCTCTCATCCGGCGATCCCCCTTTACCTTGTTTTTATCGTGGAGTGTCGTATCTTCACTCCGAAGTGTGGCACGTTGACGAATGCACAACCTGTTCGTGTGATAACAGCACTTCAACATGCGTAATTGAACCTTGTCAACCGGCATTCTGCGTTGAACCCCTTAAACTGCCAGGAAGATGCTGCTTTACCTGTCCGTACAGTAAGTCTTCTGAGAGTCCCCCCCCCCCCACTCCCACCCGCCCTCTCATATGACCAAACCTTTGTAGGACTGTGTCGTAAATTCACTACTACAATACATACAACAAACTCCAAAATGGCAGCAGGATTTTTAATTGATTTAAATTTGCTAGTTTGCCTGAAACCGGCCTATTCAACTTTTACTGTCTTACAAATTTGGGGTTTCCAGGTTGATCCGGGGGGGGGGGATACGAAATTATCGCTATTTCCCTTTGTGATACTCTCTAACCCCCCTTTCTCCCCTAATTTTCTGCTATCTTCTCTTAACTTTGTTGGCCTCTCTTTTTCAAGATTGCGTCATCTTTTTTTCCCGAAGTGCTGCGTATATGTTATATCAGACACGAGAAATCAAATGTTTGAGCATCCAACGTTTATTCACCCCCCCCCCCCCCCCTTCTTTCCCCCTCTTTTTTTTGTATTATGATATTATGACTAGTCATCAAGTCCATTTCTTAAATCTTGATTCATATCAGACCTGGCAGTGCTTAATGTCAGCCCTACCATTCAAAGTCAACGCAATGTGACGAATAACGCTGACGCAACAATAGTTCTTGCGGTAGAAGTCAAATTTATAAATGCCCAAGACACGTCAGGACTGAGAGGTGAATCTCTCTGGGAGCTGTCTGCCTGGATTGCTCCTGTAAACACTACTCACAGGTATGTGAATACGATCTCCTTATAAAAAACATAGATGAAGAGTCATAACCTGCGCTAAAAAAAAAGTTTCTTTTATTACCGTAATGTACTTTTTGTTTTGCTTTTTACAACAGTATCTCCCATGTGTTTCAATTCATAACTTAAGCGTATGTTATCTTACATATTCAAATCAATTTTTTATTATATTATTGCAAAATTTAGTCCCGAAGTAAGTTAAACTTAAACTTATGTGTATCTTGCCTACCTTCTTGAATTAATTAATAGACGTATGCCCTTCAATCATGCAATTTTCTCACAACTGCACCAGGAGTATTAATTTTGACAGACAAGGCGCATTACAAATGTCTAGTATTATTATTGTTATTATTTTTTTTATTTTTTTTTTATTATTATTATTATTATTATCATTGTTATTATTATTATTATTATTATTATTATTATTATTATTATTATTATTATTATTATTATTATTATATTATTATTATTATTATTATTATTATTTGTATTTCTATTAATATTCGTATTCGATATTCCCCAGTTTTGTACGTAGGCCTTTATTCTACGATCTGTTTTGTAGATGTTTAATATTTACGTTTATTTATATATGTTATTCATCATTCTATATTGTAAACATGTTATCTTTACTCTTTGGACTACAATCATGTATCATACTTTTCAGGTGGGCTGTATCTAATACAGACCACCTTATATTTTTGTTAAAATCGCCTTTATTTATTATTATTTATTTATTTTTCTTATTTCGACCCACTTTTTTGTGTTCAAAATAATTTGAAAATGGCAAAATCAAATGTCTTAAAATTTGTCACACATATTGTATAGGCATATGAACAAAGCACAGCAAAGTTTTCAACCTTGACCTTGACTGATGACGTGATCTAGGCGCCATTTTGTGAAGTTTTCTGAAAATAAACTCTTGATCATATCATAACCAAAAGTGATTTTTCAATCATATTTATCATGATCAAGGTCAATATCAGTCCGGTCAATTTCAGGTCAAAAAACGCGCGCGTGCGCGTATGTCCGTGCGTCAGTGCGTGCGCAAAATTTGTAAATGCTCAAAATCGTCTCAAATTTATTTTGCATACGTTTCAGGTCATTTTAAGCATTTTATAAAAAATCGCGCACACGCGCATGCGGGCGCGTTTACGCGCGTAACACCATTACACAACAAAGAATCGCTATTTTTTTTCTATTATGATATTTCTCATATTTTTTCGAACAATTTGATATAATGTTTATCTCTTTATGACCATTCATAACAAGATGAGCGTCCATTCAAGATAAATGTCCGTGCGCGCGAGCTCTTGTAATACATAGCATATATGGGCAAAAACATGCCTATAGAAATTCTATTATAGCTCTTTGGGATGGAACTGGACCCCCAATCTTTTTTCATATTTTGATAGAGAATGAGTCGGAAATATGATTTAATGTCTCATTTGGCTATTAAAAATATTTAGACATCATCATAATGGCCTTTGACCTAAAAACAGGAATTTGCATATTATGACATCAGCATATTTATGGGAAATTGATTGTACCTCTGTAAATATTGATCAATTTTCTTCCAAATTTCGATATGTTGTAGTTAAGATAAATTTCTACAAGCTCAACAATCACCATTTTTCATTTTGATGACGTCATCAGAGTGAAAATTTCGATTAAAGGGCACATATAAGAAAGTTTTTAAATTGCGTGTTATGCCTATAGAAGGTGAATTTCGTTCACGTCATGAATCTACATGGTATTGTTTTTTAAGAATTTTAAAGCAGTATCTCGCTTATTTATGCTCTATTTTGTCTCGAATTTTAGTTGACCAGCCCACCTATACTTGTTCCAAACAAATATTATATGTCTAGTTTTATTTGTATTAATAAAACCCGATTTGAATCGCGTTGTCAGTACAGAAACTCGGGAATGAAGGCCATTCTTGTCGCGTTATTATCATTGCATTTGCTAGAGAAGTGTATTTTTTAGTTAGTTTATTTATTGAATTCGTTAATAACTTTCATTATTGATTAAATCATTAGTTAATTCATCTATTTATTCATCTATTTATCTATCTATTCATTTACATATTAATTATTATTCGTTTATTTATTTGATTATTTGTTAATTGTCGGATGGTTCGGCGTTACCTGAGCCTGGGATGGGAAATTCAAAGTTAATCACTGTGATCCCCGCTCAAATCAAGCCAGTAGATGCATACAACCAGGTCATATACCAGTAATACTAGTCAGTATGTGAATTGTTCATTTTGCATTCACTTTGGTCATTCTCAGTCACACCAGGATAGGTTTCACCGAGCAAGTTCTCAATGTTGATCAGGCATCGCAGAGGTACATAAAAAAAAATAAAAAACTCATCTTCCTGGACGTCGTGTATACCTTCGTTGCTCCGTCTTTAAACTGCGGCGAGGCCAACGTCTGTGTTGAGCTGAAACGTGGAAGAAATGCAGTAACATACGATGGTCTTCCTTTCCATTTTAGAAGTTTCCCCATAAGGTCTACACCGTTGATTGGCTGCACTTCACTATGTACTGGTAAGAAGTAGGCCTAGCTATGGGGGCTAAAGTTGAAGGGGCGACTGGCAGGGAACGACGGGGAGGGGGATACACAGATTATTGGGTGGGCTGAATAGCCCCGGAAGCAGTATTAAATTCACTTAAATCTGCTATATTTTGCCTGATTCCGGGACTCTTCAACTATTACTTTGTAACAAATTTGGGGTTTCCAAGTTTATCGGGAGGGGATTGGCACAACAAAATCCTTATTTCCCTGGCGCTCTTGTCTAACATCTTCATTCCTACTCGTCTATATTTATATCTTTATATAACCCAGCCAGCTCTGCACCGATGATTGGCTGCACTTCATTATGTAATGGTAGGAAGTAGGCCAAACTATGGGGGCCCGGGTAAAGGGCGACTTACAGGGAAGGGGTGGGGGACACAAGGTTTATCGGATGGGTAAAATGGTCGGACCTAACAATGTTAACATTGATTAGTTCAGTTCAGTTCAGTTCATTTATTTCAATCATAAAACCTTAACATAATATATATACACAAGTAACATGAAACAATCATAATATGACAATTTTTGAGTTAAGAAACTGGAGACTAAAAAGGAAGTTTGAAAAACTTGTAAGTATAATAGTCCCCTGACATAAATAATAAATAACGAGATTACATGGTTGTACACGTTACTACGACAATAACGATATATAAATAAGATACTACACATTATAGATACACACCGATGAACACACACACCATACACACACACACAAAGCATGGTACATTGCAAGGTAGAACGAGTTAAAAGAAAGAGTTAAGGGAAATAAGAAGAGACCATTACTGTCTCTTCAATAGAACTTTAAAGGATGATATAGTTGTGCATACTGTTGGCTTATCAGTTAAATCGTTCCAAATACGGGGACCATATATGTCTAAAAGAGTAAAGCATTAACTGGGTAGAGACCTTTATATAATGATATTTGATACAGGAACGAGTATTATATGATTGAACTGATTTATTAAGGATTAACATTTGACAAACTCTTTTAGGTACATAATTATTATAAACATCATACATCATAATGGTACTTTTAATTGTATGTATATCATAAATATCGAGTGTTCTTAGGCGAAAAAACAGAGGACGTGAATGAGTTTGATAATGGGAATTGGTACATATTCTTAAAGCTTTCTTTTGAAGTTTATAGAGAGGTTCTAATTTAGTTGTTCCCACACCGACCAAGGTGATATTACAGTAATGTAAGTAAGGCAAAATTAAACAATTATACAACATCAACAATACTTTTTCAGGCAGAAATATACGTAATTTACAAAGAACACCAATGTTTTTAGATATTTAGTTAGTTATATACAATCAATGATTATGTATGGGCATTAGCCGTTCGACCTCATAATTTGGGGAGGGGATAGCCTACTGTGGTGGAGGCATGAGATTCTTGCACTTATTTTCTACACTTTGGAGGCTTAAGCCCCAAAGGCTCACCCCGCTCCCTAGAGCCGCTTATAGTTCAATGTGTTCTAACATCCCCTTTTCATATTTCCACATCCCCTCTCCGTCCCCCCCCCCCCCCCATATGATTGGTGGGTATGTCTCCCTGGAGTTACGCCATACATTGTTAAAGATAAACTTGAGTACTGGTAACGCGATTGCATTGTGAAAGAAAAGGTGTGGAATGGATCAGAAAAGTTAATCATAAAGCATGTAAGTAATGGTGTGTAATGCAAGGTTCTAGAGTCATCAAAATCATCATAAATTTGGCAGAGTCTTGGTAAAGTAACAATCACTTACACAGATAGATGTATATGGAAACAACACCATGGTGTCGGGGCTAGTACTACCTGATTTACTTATCTTTCTATGCTCATTACTCACCATATACATTTTCTTCCAAAATTGTTTGGCACATGACATTTATTTGTAATCTTGAACATTCAGTGTAAGTTTCGTTAGATTCTGTGAAAATTCATTTTCTTTTTTCCAGAACTCAAGTTTATCTTTAATGAGCGCAACAAGGGTTCATTCGCAATGAGTCCTTTTATCTGGCTTTCATGATATCCCAATATACCATTGTTTTTTTTATTTACAATCTTCCATGTTTGTGTTTTACCATTATCATTTATAAATATGTCGATTTTTTTTTCACCTTCAGAGATTTAAATTCGATTTTAAAAAAAGGCTCTCCTAAAATATGCATCGGAATCAGTCTAGACTGTACTCCGATTAACCCTCGTCTGCTTTCTGAGTTCTGTCCTTAACTTCCGGTCTGGATCCCCCCCCCCCCCTCCTTCTCTCTCTCTCTCTCTCAAAAACTATAGTTTATTGACCCGGTAGGAAATAGCTAACGATGTCATTATACTCTAACTTTTTTAGGCGCGACACATATATCCTTGTGTGGATACGGGAGGAAAACATTTGCACGAAGATGTCTGGCAACGAGATCCGTGCCACACTGAACTTGTACTTTAAAACGGAACAGCTGCGTGTACTACAAAGGAATGCCCCGATCCTGATTGCAACAGCCTGTGAGACTTGAAGGCGAATGCTGTCTATCCTGCCCATATCGTAAGATATATCCTGAAGTTTTTAAGCCTAGTTTACATTTGGCCTGCGATTAGTCTACTGAGTATCCTGCCCGTAACCCTTTTCCCTTGCGGCCTCCGTGTGGAGGCAGGAGGCGACCGTGAGATTTTCTCACGGATTCACGGCTCCGCGACCTCTACAATTTTGATTCGTTATTTCGTAGCCCGTAGACATGTCGTAGGTGGAATGCATAATCCCGCACGGGCATCGCGCGGAGGCCTGGCGCTGATCGTTTAGCAAACACACGATTTTCGGTGAACATGGGGGCAAAAAAAAGTTTCAAAACGGCAGGGCGGCTGCGCGGTCACCGCGCCTTATCCCCGCAACTTCTGCACGGGCTCCTTACGATTTCCGTGCGGAGGCTGCGGAGACTGCACGGTAACTGCACTGAACTTTCTCGACTTCCCTACATTCTCCGAGCATGCAGCCTCTGTACGAGTTTGCCCCGGCCTGCCTCCGAGGGCTAATACGAAAAGTGGCACGATGCTCGTAGATAATGTAAACACAAACATCGTAGCCGGTAGCGTCCTACCAGGGCATGTCTCCCTGGTCCTACGATGCCCAAAATATCGCACGAAAATTCAAAGACCAATTGTTGAACGGCGCCCGGGGCAAATGTATCTAGGCAAGGTAACACATTATTATGAGGGATTGAAATATTTCGCCTCCTGACTCTAAACTAGAGATGTATATTAATGTTGACAGTGGGGGGGGGGGGGGCGTAAAGTTAATCGCCCGAATGTGAACTTCCAGTTTTTTGTTGCGCCGACGCCGATGGGTCATGGCAGGGTCTGCGTGAGTTCCCGAGAGCTATAAAATCAGCCAGACCTCGAATATTAAGCAGTCGATATGTCTTATATATGCCAAATTGACAAAAATCTACGAAGAATTCTTACCTTATCCTTTTATTGAGTAAAGATTGGTTAAAACTCTCGGAAAATTGTCCCTTTTTCGATCGTTGCCTCTGCGCTCGCTCAAAAACTATAGTTTATTGACCCGGTAGGAAATAGCTAACGATGTCATTATACTCTAACTGTTTTAGGCCGACACATATATCCTTGTGTGGATACGGGAGGAAAACATTTGCACGAAGATGTCTGGCAACGAGATCCGTGCACACAATGTACTTGTAACAACGGAACAGCTGCGTGTACTACAAAGGAATGCCCCGATCCTGATTGCAACAGGCCTGTGAGACTTGAAGGCGAATGCTGTCTATCCTGCCCATATCGTAAGATATATCCTGAAGTTTTTAAGCCTAGTTTACATTTGGCCTGCGATTAGACTACTGAGTATCCTGCCCGTAACCCTTTTCCCTTGCGGCCTCCGTGTGGAGGCAGGAGGCGACCGTGAGATTTTCTCACGGATTCACGGCTCCGCGACCTCTACAATTTTGATTCGTTCGTAGCCCGTAGACATGTCGTTGGAATGCATAATCCCGCACGGGCATCGCGCGGAGGCCTGGCGCTGATCGTTTAGCAAACGCACGATTTTCGGTGAACATGGGGGCAAAAAAAAGGTTCAAAACGGCAGGGCGGCTGCGCGGTCACCGCGCCTTATCCCCGCAACTTCTGCACGGGCTCCTTACGATTTCCGTGCGGAGGCTGCGGAGACTGCACGGTAACTGCACTGAACTTTCACGACTTCCCTACATTCTCCGAGCATGCAGCCTCTGTACGAGTTTGCCCCGGCCTGCCTCCGAGGGCTAATACGAAAAGTGGCACGATGCTCGTAGATAATGTAAACACAAACATCGTAGCCGGTAGCGTCCTACCAGGGCATGTCTCCCTGGTCCTACGATGCCCAAAATATCGCACGAAAATTCAAAGACCAATTTGTCGAACGGCGCCCGGGGCAAATGTAATCTAGGCAAGGTAACACATTATTATGAGGGATTGAAATATTTCGCCTCCTGACTCTAAACTAGAGATGTATATTAATGTTGACAGTGGGGGGGGGGGGGCGTAAGTTTATCGCCCGAATGTGAACTTCCAGTTTTTGTTGCGCCGACGCCGATGGGTCATGGCAGGGTCTGCGTGAGTTCCCGAGAGCATATAAAATCAGCCAGACCTCGAATATTAAAGCAGTCGATATGTCTTATATATGCCAAATTGAAACAAAATCTACGAAGAATTCTTACCTTATCCTTTTATTGAGTAAAGATTGGTTAAAACATCTCGGAAAATCCGAGACACTGTCTGTTTATCTTTGCCGGAAAAAGGACTGAAATTTTCGAT